AAGAGTCCCCAGGCCTTGCCACACTGCTGGCCAACCAGGTCTTCACCCGGGTTCACAGAAGTCTATTGAACATTGCAGGGCTTAGCTCACCGCTTCATTGCTGTTTTTCCCTCACTTCCCCTTATCGGTGTTGAGCGTGGTCACCAATCACAGTGTATATCCCCATTGAGTCTTAGTTTTAGAAGGGGGTTTGCATTGAGGGAACCCCACCACTTGTCTTGATGTTTCCTGGGCAAGCAAGTTGCTTGTTCTTGTAGTAACAGTCGGTCTGCCTATGTTGTTTTATATTTTTCCTGAAGGTCTTTCTTTCAAGAAATATCTTCTGTTCTTTTAGCCACTCTAGGTTGGTCTGCTTGTCCTTTCAAGTGGGAATTTCCCATCTCTGGAGATCTGGATGTGGTTTAGGCTTCTACCTACAGTCTTTTGTATTTCAGAGGCTCCGCAGGAAGCCTCCTTCACTGGGCATGTAGTAGCCCCATTTTAGGTATTCCAACCAGTTATAGGCAGAAGACAGACTTACAAGCTTTCTATGGTGATGCTTTTCACTATTCCTTTCTCTCCCTCCAGTGTCTATTTTATAATATAATGCAAGGAAGACCAAGATTCAAAAGACAGCCAAGCATCTTAATATTATTCCCCCCTTTTCCACATTCCAACCATGGCTCGATCTCTGTATTCCAGAACCCTCTTGTTCCCAGGTTGTGCATATATCATTATTTACCTCTGTCTCACTTAGCCCATTGAGACCTGTCTAATTGTTCTCCCATCTGCTTTGTTCTTCCATTCCCCTCTCCCTACTTGTATATTGCCCCCTCCCTAGCACCCAAACTATCCTGTGTCTAATCCCTGCCACAGGGGTAATCTTGATAGATTTTCTTGAAGGACAGAAGATGACCATGGGGCTTATTAGGAAAAAGGTTTTAAAAAATAAAACTGCATTGGTGAGAAAAAGGTCAGGAGAGTTGTGCTGAGGACTTTTTTTTTTTCTATCACAATATGACTGGTCATTCTTTAAGGGCAGCAAGGACTTTCCTATGAGAATTTCATTGGGAAACCTTACTCCATTTATTCTACATCCCTGATCTTGCCCCTTTAGATTTCTTTTTACTCCTCAAACTCAAAGAACATTTAAAAGAAACATGATTTGAGTTCTTTGAGTATGCCAAAACTTCTCTTTGACATGGTATGAATTGAAGAGTGTAGAGTTCTTCAGGAAAGGGCAAAAGAGATGGAAATAACACTTTCAAAAGTATAGAGAACTAGATGGAGGATATGTCAAGAAATGATATCTTTACATTTTGATATTTTTGTTTAACAAAGGTTTCTATGATTTTCTTTATTTTTTTTTTTTTAACTTACCCTCTTCACTGAAAAAATCATGACATTTCCTAACCTTCCTCTAAGTGTAGTCATTTAACAAGAGTCCCACCAGAAAGAAATAAGTAGAAAGAGAATATAAAACTTCCGCAAAGTTTCCTTATCTGCTGTGCAGGTGGAGTAGGGGTAAGGCATGCCCTTCCACTAGCTTTTTCTTCTTGTTGTTGACTGGAATGTGGTTATGACTGGTTGAATTCAGAATAACCAGCTTGGATCCGAAGATTAAAACTTCACTTGAAAGTGGTAGGCTAACAAAATTTAATAGGTCTACTTTTCTGAACCACTAAAACCAGTGATGATGAAATTGAAGAATTCTACCAACTTCTTCTGTCTGAAACTGATCAAACATAGAATCAAGATATATTGATAATTACTGGTGAATGGAATGTAAATGTTGGGAACAGAAGAAAGACTAGTAGCTCGAAAATATGGCCTTGATGAGAGAAATGATGCTAGAAATTCCATGACATAATTTTGCAAGACCAATGATTTCTTCATTGTAAATACTTTTTTTTACACAACATAAAAGATGACTATACACATGGACCTCTCTAAGTGGAATACATAGAAATCAAATTGACTACATTTGTGGAAAGAGACAGTGGAAAAGCTACATATCATCAGCCAAAACAAGGCCAGGAGTAGACTGTGGAACAGATCCTCAACTGCTCATAGACAAGTTCAGGATGAAGCTAAAGAAAACAAAAACAAGCCCACAAAAGCCAAAATATGACCTTGATTATATCCCACCTGAATTTAGAGACCATCTGAAGAACAGATAGGATGCATTAAACACTAAAGACTGAAGGCCAGAAGAGTTGTGGGATGACATCAAGAACATCATACAGGAAGAAAGCAAAAAGTCATTAAGAAGACAAGAAGGAAAAGACCAAAATGGATGTCAGAAGAGAGTCTGAACAGCATAGAGATGCTTAAGCAAATGGAAGAAATAAGGAGGTAAAGGAGCTAAATAGAAATTTTCAAAAAACTGCTCGAGAAGACAAAGTCAAATACAAAAACTAAATGTGCAGAGACCTGTAGTTAGAAAATCCAAAGAGAAGAACTCACTCAGCATTTCTCAAGCTGAGGGAACTGAAGAAAAAAATTCAAGCCTTGACTTGAAATATTGAAGGATTCCATGGGCAAAATATTTAGTGATGCAGAAAGCATCAAAAGAAGATGGCAGGGTTACACAAAGTCACTGTAATAAAAAGAAATAGTTGATGTTCAACCATTCAAGAGATAGTATATGATCAAGAACCAATGATACTGAAGGAAGAAATCCAAGGTGCAGTGAAGGCATTGGCAAAGAACAAGGCTCTGGGAATTGACAGAATACAAATACAAATCTTTCAACAAAATGATGCAGCACTGGAAGTACTCACATATCTAATGCCAATAAATTTGGAAGACAACTACGTGGCCAACTGACTGGAAGAGATCTGTATCTGTGCCCATTCCAAAGAGAGGTGACCCAATGGAATGTGGAATTCATCTGATGATATCATTAATATCTTACACAAGTAAAATTTTGCTAAAGATAATCCAAAAACAGTTACAAATGTACATTGACAAAGAACTGCCAGAGGTTCAAGCCAGATTCAGACAAGGGTATGGAATGAGGGCCATCACTGCTGATGTCAGATGGATCTCGGTTGAAAGCAGAGAATACTAGAAAAATGTGTACTTGTGCTTTATTGACTACACAGAAGCCTCTGATTGTGTGTATCCTGACAAGCTACGGACAACACTGTGGAGAATGAGTATTCCGGAACACTTAACTATGCTCCGGAACCTGTACAAAGACCAACATCAGTTGTTTGAATAGAACAAGGGGACACTGAATGGTTTAAAATTAGCAAAGGTATGGCCAGGGTTGTATTCTTTTACCATAGTTATTCATCTGTATGCTGAGCACATAATCTGAGAAGCTGGATTACATGAAGTAAAACGTGGCATCAGGATTGGAGGAAGGCATCATTAACAACCTGTGATATGCAGATGATACAACCTTGCTTGCTGAAAAGCGAAAAGGACTTCAAATATTTATTGTTGAAAATCAAAGACCAGAGCCTTTGGTATATGTTGCACCTCAATGTAAAGAAGACAAAAATCCTCACCACTGGACCAATAAACGACATCCATATCAATGGAGAAAGAGCTCTGGTAGCATAGTGGTTACGAATCAGGCTGCGAATCTTAAGGTCTGTGGTTCGAAACCACCAGCTGCTCCGCAGGAGAAAGATGAGGCTTTCTACTCCCGTAAAGATTTACACCCTCGGAAACCCTGTACAGGGTCGCTATGGGTCGGAACTGACTCAATGGCACTTAACAACAACAACAACAACAAAGTTGTCAAAGACTTTGTTTTGCTTGGATCAACCATCAACACTCATGGAAACAGCAGTCAAGAAATTAAATGACATATTGCTTTATGCAAATCTGCTGTACAAGACTTTTTTAAAGTGCTCAAAAGCAAAGATGTCAGTTTGAGGCCTAACGTGCACCTGACCTAAGCCATGGTATTTTCAATAACCTCATATGCATGTGAAAGTTGGACAGTGAATAAGAAAGATCATAGAAGAATTGAAGCATTTGTTTTAGGGTGTTAAAGGAGAATATTAAAATTACCATAGACTGACAAAAGAACAAACCAATCTGTATTGGAAGAATTACAGCCAGAATGCTCCTTGGAAGCCAGGATGGGCAGACTTTGTCTCTCATACTTTGGATATATTGTCAAGAGGGACCAGTCCCTGGAGAAGGATATCATGTTTGGTAAAGTGGATAGGCATAGTGGCAGCATCAATGGGCTGCTGTGGTAGGGATTGTGAGGTTGGCGCAGGTCTGGGTAGTGTTTCGTTCTGTTGCACATAGGGTCACTATGAGTTGGCACCAATTCATTGGCACCTAACTTCAACAACAAAGTCTCTGATGATCAATGGGCTCTCCATACTAGTAAATTTTTTTAAAATATGTTTTTATATTTTTCATACCTACATTTCATGAAAGAGAAATACACCTCTCTGTTACTATGAATTTTCTCTCTCTCACAGCCAAACTCATATGCATGTGAAAGCTGGACAGCAAATAAAGATCACAGAATTGATACATTTGAGTTATGGTGTTAGAGGAGAATATTTAAAGTGCATGGACTGCTAGAAGAACCAATAGATCTGTTTTGGGAGAAGTGCAGCCAGAGTGCTCCTTGGAGGCCAAGATGGCCAAACTTCATCTCTTATACTTCGGACATATTGTCAGGCAGGACCAGTAGCTGGAGAAGGATATCATGTTTGGTAAGGTGGAGGGTCAGAGAAAAAGAAGAAGACCCCCAACGAGATGGATTGGCCAAGTGGCAGCATCGATGGACTCAAGCGTGGCAACAGTAGTAAGGTTGGCCCAGGATTGGGCAGTGTTTCGTTCTGCTGTGCACAAGATTGCTATGAGTCGGTACCGACTCGATGGCACCTAACAACAACAACAACAACAACAACAGCCAAACTCAGTTTTAATTATACAGCTCTGAAAATATATTAAATAAGTAGCTACCTGACAAATTCTGTCTGCTGGGTTCACTTTCTCTGTTGCTGGAAGGCGAGCCTGGCTCTGAAATGCTGCTCTCTGTTCCTCCCATCAGTGGTCGCAAGTGGCTTACAGATACTTGCTCAATGAATGATGTGCCATGTTTATGGAAATACCACCATTCAAATATCTAGGACAAACAGAAAACATCTTCTGGTTAAAATAGATTTGATAAGCTGATACATGAACTCAAATTAAAACATTCTCTCAAGAGATTCCTGTTTAAATCCATATTAAAATGTACTCTCCTTCCAAAACTAAGTTAAACACAATGCTCCCCAATAACATATCAAGCAAAAGAAGCAAAATATCTTTCTTATAGTTTTGTCATGAAATTTAGACAAACTTAGGAAAAACTAGAAGAAATGCATTTGTAAATAAAACATTTAAAAACAGTAAAAAGTCACCACAGCAAAAAGATGGAAACAACGCAATGGATGAATGGATAAGCAAACTAAGTCACATATGTATAATGGAATACTACCTAACATTAAAGAAAATGAAGAATTTAGGAAACATCTCACAACACGGATGAGCCTGGAGGACATTATGCTGAGTGAAAAAAGTCAATAACAAAAAACAAGCATGAATATTATACAAGAATACGATTATAAAAAGAAACAGTTTCACCACAGAAACAAGCATTCTTTCATGGCTACCTGGGATGGAAAAGGGAGGGAAAACTACTAACTAGGTTGTAGTCGTTAAGTGCCATCGAGCTGGTTCTGTCTCATAACGACATTGTATAGGGTTTCCGAGGAGTGGCTGGTGAGTTTGAGACGCTGACCTTGCAATTCAAACCGACCTTGCGGTCCAGTGCTTATCCTACAGCGCCACACCAAGACTCATGTATTAGCTTGGGTGAAGAGAAAGGCAATACACAATAAAGAGAGGTCAGCACATCATGACCAAGGCAAAGGAAGACCTGGTGAAGAATACAAGATTAAAAAGCAAGAACCACAAATACTATTCCATACATTATATTGCAGTAACAGTATAAGTAGTAACAAACAATAATTTATGAATAAATACATAGGTAGGTATGCTAGATGAACAGGTATAAGGTGGCGCATGGGAGTACACTTAGAAGCATACATAGGTTTGACTTAGGATATCTGTATATTTGTATTTGTCTGTGCTGCAAACAGATCCAGCTATATGGTAGACCATATGGTAGACAAAGTTATGCAAACTTAAACATAACCAAACACCTAGAAAGACTGAGCCAGTGGGCTTGAGGGTTTAGAATTGTCGTCTCAGGGGAACTCTAGGTTAATTGCCATTTCATAGTCCTTTAAAACAATGTTCTACACATCCTACTTTGGTGAGTAGCAACAGGGGTCTTAAAAACTTGCAAGTGGCCATCTAAGAAACAACTGTTGGTCTCTTCTCATCTGGAGCAAAGAAAAATGAAGAAAATCTAAAACTCAGGGAAATAACTAGTCCAAGGAACTAATGGACTACAGGAACCACAGCCTCCACTATCCTTAGACCACAAGAACTAGATGATGCCCAGCTACCACCACCGCTATGATCAGATCACAATCCTAGGCAGAGTGAGTGAATAATGTAGAACAAATTTGAAAATCACAAAAAAGACCTGACTGGTCTGACAGAGACTGGTAGAACCTGTGAGATTATGGCCCTTAGACACCGCCCTTCAAACCTGAAACTGAACTCATTCAACCAAACTACAGAGAAACCTATAAAGTAATCAGTAATACCGAAGAGGTACATGCTTCTCAGAAAAATCAACCATATGAGACCAAAAAGGCAGCAGTGGCCTAAAAACAAAGTTGAGAAGGCAGGAATGGTCAGAAAAGGAAAATGGAACTGGGAAACCAAAGGAGGAAGTTGGAAGAATGCTGTTACACTGATTACAAATGTCATGAAACAAAAGGTGGATAAATTGTTGAGTGAAAAACCACCTTACTCAGTAAACTTTTACCTAAACCACAATAAAATGTTCAAATAAATAAAAAAATACAGCTTCCAAGAATGCAAAAAGAATAATAACCTAAAAATAATTTAACTGTTATGATACATTATTTTATTCTATCTGTTGTTGTTATGAGTCATTTTCAACTCACAGCAACCCTGTATAGAGTTTCCAAGGTGCAGCTAGTAGGTTTGAACCACTGTCCTTGCAGTTGGCAGTCCAGTGCTTACCCTACAGCCACACTCCCATTTTGTAGCATAATTAAAAGAAAGACCATTTTAATATAACCAGCCTACTAGATAAAGAGGCTGGGTCAAAATGCCTCTGCTGGACACCCAGTTGAACCATCTATTAGTTGTGCACTAACAGTGAGACTTTCAGAGTCTCACTGTTCTCAATCTGTAGGTCAACATATATATAGTTAAATGTGTTTGACAACAATTATGAGAAAGTGCCTTTTGAGCAATAAAGCACTATTCTAGCGTTTGGCAGCATTATTAACATAACTTGATTCCCATATTAAACCCTTTAAAATTAATCAGGATATTTACCTCTTTCTATGATAATGGTTTATTAGTTATTAAAAGAGGGTCCAAAAGAAGCTCTCTGTGCTGAATTAGTAGAATGTCTCATATTTGGACATTTCCAATCTTCCCAATATTTCCATTGGATTTTATTTTTTTTCTTTCAGAATAATCTTGTTACTTGTAAGAATTAGTAAAGTTTTGTTGTTATTCCTCAAACCTCCCCCGTTTCTAGATAGAGGTATCACACACAACAACTACCTTCCTCATTTCCTTTAGGTATTTACAAAAAAATAAGTAACAATATCATTTTAATGAGGTTAATTCCCTGCTCCTCTGTATAAAATTTCAACAATTTTCTCTTGCACACCATATTCCCTCACCTGTCTCATTTTCCCCTCAGTCCCTGATATGAAGAATATGTTACTTATTACACCATTTTAAAATCATTTGTTGTTGTTGAGAATATACACATATTACAATTCAATAGTTTCTACATGGACAGTTCAGTGATTGATTATATTGAATTGTACAACCATTTTCACCTTCCTTTGCTGAGTTATTTGTCTCCATTAACTCACTGCCCCCAAAGATTTTATCTAATCTTCCAAGTTGCTGTTGTTACTCTGATGCCATGGGTTGTGAGTGTCGTCGAGACAGTTTCAACCTACAGTACCCTGTATAGGGTTTCTAAGAAGTGGCTGGTGGGTCTGAACCACCAACTTTGCAGTTAGGACTTATAAGCAGGCTCAGAAGCTACTCTCTTGATTCCATATGTTGTTGTTGTTAAGTGATGTTGAGTTGGTTCCAACCCATAGTGACACTGTATAGGGTTTCCAAAGAAGAGTTGGTGAGTTTGAACCGCTGACTTTGTGGTTCAAACTGAACTTGCAGCTGAATGTTTATCCTACAGCACCACACCAAGACTCCATGCTGTTGTTGTTGTTAAGTGCCGTAGAGTCAATTCCGACCCATAGCAACCCTGTATAGGGTTTCCAAGGAGCAGCTGGTGAGCTTGAACCACCGACCTTGCAGTTCAAACGACTTTGCAGTCTGACACATTAGCCCACAGCGCCACACCAGGACTCCTAAAATATAGCGTTACTGAAGTGATTTGTTACTACATGCCGTGACTCAGATTCGAACCAAGGTTGCTGCCGCCACAATGCAGAGTGCTAACCACTATACGATCACGGCTAGCTAATTGCCAAGTGGCAAGTCTCCATAGTTAGACCTTAAAAAGCATAATTCTCAAGGCAGACATTCTTTACAAGGTAAGCTAAACTACAGTTTGGTTTTAAGAAAACTTCAGGGGATATTTTTGGCTTAAGGTTTAAAGATTATCTGAAGGCAATAGTTTTGGGCATTCAGCCAGATTCCATGGCTTCAAATTTCTTCTATAAAATCTTTGATCAAAACATTCAGCAATGATAACCAGGCACCATCTAGTCTCAAAGAGGCAAGTAGCCACACAGTTTCGTTCTCCAATTCCAGATTCTTCTTCCTTTGTTGCTTCTGGGGAATAGAGACCAATAGTTGTGCCCTGGATGGTCACTTGCAAGCTTTAAAGACCCAAGCACTACACAAAAAACAAGGAGGAAAAACAGAAGCACTAAATACGTTATTACACCCATTATTAAGATGTCCAAGGAAACTAAGATTATAAACCTCTAAATGAAGGAACCATATCTTATAAGCAGGCTCAGAAGCTACTCTCTTATCTTGTGTGTTCTTGTTATAAATATATCTATCACACAATTTTTGCCAATTCAACTTTCTGCACTGTGCAAATATTGACAGCACTTACAGTAATTTGCAGTCCTGGTGTGGCGCTGTGGGTTAATGCGTCAGACTGCAAAGCCATTTGAACTGATAAGTGGGTAGTTCAAGCTCACCAGCTGCTCCTCAGAAACCCTATACAGGGTTGCTATGGGTCGGAACTGACTTGACGGCACTTAACAACAGCAACACAGTAATTTACTTTATAACCCTACACTTAATGAGATTCTTCCATCACTGTAAACTGAAACTTAGTATTCCATAAGCAATAACCCCTTTCCTCCTCCTTCCTATGCCAAGTAATCATTAATATACTTTGGTCTTCATACTTTTGTCATTTCTTGTCTTTTTATAGAAATGAAGTCATGTAATATTTATCCTTTTGTGATTGACTTGTTTCACTTAGCAGTCTTCAAGATCCATCCATATCAAGATTTACGCCTCTTACTGAGTTGCTGTGGGTCTGTAGGATAATCACAACTGTGAACCACAAGGACGGCTATTTCAGCCCACCAGCTGCTTCATGGGAGAAAGATAAGACTTTCTGTTCCTGCAAAGATTCACAGCCTTGGAAACTTCATACAGGGTCGCTATGAATTGGAACCAACCTGGCGGCACTTAACAACAACTGGCTGAGTGGTATTCCATTGCAGGAAGTTGCCTTAAAAAGTTCGTGGAGAAATGTAATGGAAAGATAATGGAATTTTTCCACAAACTTTTTGAAGCCCCCTCATATGTTTATCCATTCGCTTGTTCATGGGCATTTTGGTTACTGTAAATAGTGCTGCAGTGAACACTGGTGTACTAATCTCTGACTTTAAGTCTTGGGTATATACCTAGGAGTGGAATTGTGGGGTCATACCATATTTCTATTTTTAGTTTTTAAAG